AGGGAATGTATTAACAATTCTTGCTGAAATGGGGCCTATAAATTAAAGACAAACGGCGTCTTGGCCTTTATAACAATGAAACTATTCAAAACAAATACAAACTAAAATTAATACAGGCATGAATTGATGAGGAGTACGGACATTTCATTCTCCAAGAGGCTAGAAACTTACTGCCCACTCAACAAAGACTGAATCATCATGGAAAATTTCAATAGTCTCATCACTCAAAAAATTAACAACCAGTACAATTGGAACAGATTGTCTATAATTAGAATGTTACCAAACGAGAGATGGCAGTGAGAGGGACAACATCACCAGCACCTTCAACCTCAATCTGCTTAGCTTTGCTAGTCAGATTCTTAAATGATCTTAAATGTCATGCTGAAAAATCCAGGGCTTAGATCCAGCTCATTTGGCAAGCCTGACAGAAATCTATATATGGAGATATCTCCCCGGAGCTGGTGGAGAAGTGGAAGGATGAAGGATTTGAACAGGATCAAACAAGAATACTCATAAATTCAACTGCAACACCCTCTAGTCAGTTCACCTGTGTATGAATGGATGGCATAACATTTAGCGTCAATGAAGAATCTGGTTCTTCTTGCTTTTTCTTCATTCGCGGGAAGTGTTGCAAGTTCTGACAACAAATTTAACAGACATGAATAATCCGGTAAATTCTAAACTGAAGGACAATTAAACAGTGACAAATGTAATTCACAGAGGGACTGCCCTTAAGAAAAACCTGACGACTGGAATACGGGGATGTAATTTTACATTAAACTATATAGGCAGGAAGAATGTGCAGAATTTTCAGCCGCTAAACGACATGGATAATGGCAAATCATTTGAGAAAATGTAGCAAAATTGGAAAAATTTGATTCTTGACACTGAGAGAAGAAAGTCCAATTTACCCAAAGTTTGAATGGCAAGATGGAATCCTCACTAGTGAGTGGTGAGAGTCTCACTTATACGTATTTGCACTTCATTATTATCTGACCTTGTTTCATTGATACTAACTTTGTTATTCTCCCACAGATAACCTAGACATCAAGTCAGAGCAGGTACCTGGTAGCTCCAGCTTAGTCCTGTGGTCTCTAGCCATCTCCAACATCTGAGGACACACTCCATGGGCAACAATCACCTGTAGACATCTTCTTCCCACAAAACCCAACGGAATGTTTTTTCCCTCTGAGGAAGGGAAATCCGCTTCTTTATGTGAAAAATGTGAAAGGGTTCAGAAAAGATTTAAAGGATGTTGCCACAGTTGGAGGGTTTGAGCTACAGGGAGAGGCTGAATAGGCTGGATCTATTTTCCTGGAGCGTCAGAGGCTGAGGGGTGACCTTAAGGAGGTTTACAAAATCATGGAGGGCATGGATAGAATCAATAGCCATCTGGATGGGTACATGAATAGGAAGGGTTTAGGGGGATATAGGCTAAATGCTGGCAAATGGGACTACATTAATTTAAGATAACTGGTCAGCACAGATGAGTTGGACTGAAGGGTCTGTTTCTGTGCTGTACAACTGTATGATTCTATGACTCTATAAAAGACAATACCATTAAACAGATGCTGTCACAGTCCAAGAGAAAATGTTTGCTATCATACAAAGCTCTATGTGATCATTATGCATTGACCTACTACGTTGACTAAAAATCCTGACCAGAGGCAATCTTAACCACATCATTCAAAATTTTGATTCAATCATACTAATGGCTATGAGGTACAAGCCATGTCATGTGGACTGTAAAGATTCACCTCCGTTTCAGAAGTTGCACTCATCTTCCGCGGTTCCATAGGTAGCACAAGGTGCAGGAGCTGCTCATTTCACACCTTGCACCTTAAAACATCCACTTCATTACCCTGTATGCAATGCTGCCTTTCCTGGGGATTGTGGTGGTTGGCAGTGGGGTGTGAGGCTCTCATTATTATTCTCACGCATATCATCTTGTACTGTATGTACACCAAATGGCTTCAGCAACACACACCTGATAAAGGCCAACAATGTGCGAGGTCCATGCAGAGCCATTAGCCTCCTTGTCTGGGGTCTCCATGTCCATGTCTGGGGGAAGCTGTTTGAATGTTATTTGTGTGACTGAGACTGTTGAATGATCCCATTACTGAACAGCTGTTTTGTTTTGGATATTGTGCACATAGGCTCATTGGAACTGTCTCCAGTGGATCCAGGCAGTGAAGCTCTGGTCATCCCTGTGTCTGCCTCACTACGAGTATTCACACAAATAGATGAGGAGCATAACAGTCTGGAAGCCAGGACCAGCATCACCCTCCAGCGAATGTGGAGCAATGTTTCCAGTCATAGGGACGTTCATGATGTGGTGAAGATGCAAGAGAGCTACAGTCACTGACCTTCCATGGATTCAGGTGCAAATAACAGAGGGGCTGTGGCACTCTACACGATTTAGAGGTTGCAGTCAGATACCACACCACAATGTCCAGCATATCAGCAACACAACACCTGTGATAACTGAGACCAACAAGAGCCATAAGCTGTCTCTTCCACATCAGGTTTCCATGCAAGTCAAATTGCGGCGGGGCAGGGGTGATTGTACCAGTGCTACGCAGACAAAAGACACCACTGGATCCTTTGTATCTCTGCTCTGGAGAATTGGCTTTGAGTCTATGTGATGGACGATGAGATCCATGGCGCTGCAGTATTGTCCTGAGTAAGAATATGAGGATAGAACAGCACTTTCAACATCCTACAGCACAGCAGCACCTGCCAAAGCAACACAAGCAGCACTTAATTATCAACCTTGTTCAATGGAACCCAGTTGTGTGAATTCATCTTTCATTGGCTGTAAAGGTTTCAATGCTGCAGAGGCCAGATTCCTCTGTAAAATCCTAAATACAAATACAGCTTAACACTTTGATCTTTCTATGTAGTTCAAGCTGTTCAATAAAAGTTGAGGTTACAAACAGATGGAAGCCTTCACCACATCCAATGCTCTCTCTTTCAATCACAGAAAGCTTCATGCTAGTGTGGGTGCTATTGAAAGGATAGCTAAAATTCACACAGAGTTAGAACAATGTGGGATGGAAAGGCACTTTACCTCTTTCTTACAGTTGCTGATAAAATGACATTTGCTCCAAGTGATGGTGAAAAGTGAAAATATATTTACAAATGTGATAAATGTATCTACAATGAAGTGCTACCCCTGCCACCTATGTGCACTCTACCTTTCTCCTTACTCTCTCACTACATCCAGGTGCAGTCCAGGGTCCATAGCTGGGCTGGTCAGAGCCTGCCCTACACTGGAATCTGTTGGCCTTGGTGTCTTGAGCTAGTGACCTTGGGGGGGAGTTTGTAACTGGAGGGTCCAGACATGCTGAGGGTGTGGTGTCCAGAGGCAGGCTCAGACTTTAGGGCTTTAACTCCCACAGGCAACTTGGAGTTGGAGAGTTAGGGCACCTCTGGAGTGACAAGAGGAAACATATGGGGGGCCTGAATGTGGTTCTTTCGGCATTGGGTACCGACTGGCACTGCCTTGTCTTCTTGAGGAAAAAGGGCACCTGGAGTAAGGTCAAGGTGTCTCATCTTCCTTTCACTTTGCCAATTGGTACTTAGCACCAATGGATGGAGCGATGGAGTGTTTGTGTTTGCGCAAAAGAACATGTCAATACAATGACACTGAAGGCTTTTGGCACTGTTTGAAGCACCAACACATTGATAGAAAAGGCAAAGCGAGGATGCTGCAGGCATGGAGGTAGCCACTCAGTGAGTGTGCACTAAGAGACAAAGCAAGCAGCTCTGAGTTGCAGGCTGAGCCTGAAGTACAGACAGGCTCGGGATTTGAACAAGTTCCGTTCTGGAGTCCATTCACAGTCAATTTGTACACAAGACGGAACACAATGCTGGAAATGGACAGCCGTTTGTAAGCGTAGGAAATGTTTCAGGTCTTTATCGTGACAACTATGTTGGGATTGAGTTCGTAAGTACAAGCATTCATAAGTCAGACTTCTGTATTTCGGGACTTCCTGTAACCCTACAGTGCCTTGCTATGCTAGTTGCTGGTGTACCTGGAATGTAGGTCTGTGCTTCCTGAGCATTGCACAAGTAATTGTGAGGTGCTATGAAGGCTGTCAGAGATTGGCTAGCGTCCAATCCAATGTTTTTGAACGAGAGGTGTGTGTAGCGGATGCCCATGCATCATGCCCTGAGATACTGTTTGATGCAGGGCAACATTAACACTCCGTAGAGCCAGCAGCGAGCTGAAGTCACCAGGAACCTGCTCTGACTTCCATGTTGAGCCTGTCTGTTATGTTTGGGAAGATAAGGAAGCTGAATATTAATGAGGTAAGTTGCAGCATTAACGAGGCATTTGCTATGATCTCGTTCAATTGGCAACTCGCTACCTCGCAGGTAACATGCTTCATGCAAAAACGTAAAAGATGTAGCAAAGAGCTCCCATTATTAAGGGAGACCTCACCATAGTTCACATCCAACTCTGCCACAAGTTTCACCATGTTGCTCAGGGTCCTTTAAGACTCCACCTTTGTTTAGTTTAGTACTCTGGTGTAACATTTGAAATGTGCTGGCTAGCCGTGGAAGGCAGACATGACTATAAAATTAACTGATTGGCTTTAATTTCAATCAAATCTGTATGTGTGATCTTAGTTTTCTCGATAATAACCTTCAATAATCATCTAGCATTCACATTCCCTTGGTGTAGAAAATCAGCAGACAGGATTTTAAACTGAGCAAATTGAGAACTTTCTATCTCAAAGACTTGTGGACTGAATTGCCTTCTGTCTCCACGAACGATTTAATTGAAACATTCAGCAAAAGGAAATGGACTGATTCCTCATTGAGATAATTGCACAACTACTTTCATTCCTGGACAAGTTAATGATGAGTAGGTTCTATAAATGATTCTCAACAATTAATTGACTTATATTTGCAGGATGTTCTTTCCCCACTCCTACATTATCAGTTTCTAGAATGAAGAGTACATAGGGAGCATTCCAAATCACTTCCCGACTTTAGTTTTGCTTTAGAGCAGTCAATCTGTTCTTTGGCAGCCTCAGTAAGAAAGTGTGCATAGAACCACTTCGAGGAAATCCGGCCCCTTCCTTTTCTGGCTTCCATCTATCTTCCTGGATGTTATAAATCAAAGTTAACATTCGGTTTACTGTAAAAACTGTGTCCCCTCTGACGGCTGCTGTAAAAAGTGCACCTTTGCTGTTCACGTACTGACCAGACAATGCAGTCCATTGTTGCCTCGTCAGATTGAAGCAATCGATCATGCACCTCAAAAAATCATCTGCTGGTCCATTCCTCATAACATACAGATTGTCATTGTGTGCAACCATGCAATGGCCATAGCTTTGTTGGCGTTTTAGAGTGGTTACAAGCAGCCAGTCGTCTTTATGGGTCCTGTACTCGTAGATATCCGTGGTGTCCAATGGTAACCAAAGGCACACAAAGATCCTGCCCATTGTGCGGGCGCAGGCTATACCTGCTCCAGGGCGAGGCAGATGTGCAGCTAAGGACCATGTGTTAGATGCCGCATGGTACTTTTCGACAGTGGCAAGAACTATATTCTTGCACATTCCTCCCATGGCAAACAAGCAACCGTCTTGTCCTGTCAATGTCAGATTGTAACGAGGATGCTGAAGGCTTGCAAATTCATTCCAGCTGTTTCTTTCAGTATCATAGCAAAAACTAGGCTTTACAATCTGCTTGCTCAGTCCATCAACCCCTCCGACTATGTAGATATTGTTGTTGAGCACAGCAATGCCAGCGAGAGACGTGCTGGCTTTATCTGGTAACAAAGTCAAGGGTGTCCAATGATTTCCCGTTTCATCCAAATAACAAATGGTTCGAGAAATGTCATCCAAGTGGTGCTCTGAAGGGAAGTGAGTGGCCACGGCCACAAATGTACTAGGAGATAGGGATTCGATATAATCCAACTGATCTTCAGGCAAGAAGCTCAAATCTTGCCTTATATTTGTGTAAACATCCCTAATAAACAAGGCTGAAGCATGAACCAAGTCAATTAACCCAAACGTGGCTGCGGCCTGGAGCATCAGGATGCAGTTATTTGAATTGATTGTATGAATGAGATGCCGCGTCAGAGGCTTCACTAGTAGGAAGGCTGCACATTCAATGGCATCAAGAATTCCGTCACTGTCCAGAGTAGGTTGATCCTCTTTTAGAACTTCCAACATGACGTTAAAGCCACGAGCTGTTAGCTCATGCAGCTGGATCTCCTCCTGAGTGCACTCCCGCATGCCTGATGCAAAGAGAGCCCTGAAGTAGTCACTGCTTTCAATCAGCACGTGCTTCTCGACAGTGAAAAGCTCATTCTCCACTTTCACACGCACATAACCCAACTGTGGATGCATCGCCCAGTCAGTTCTGTGTTATTCACAATTATCACCTACTCACCAGACTCTTTGAGTTGAAGTAGAACTCGTTCAAAATTCAGCGACCTGTAACTATAAAAGCAACCCAAGCCTTTGTACTCTTCTGTTTGGAGCTGCTTGTTTACAGTCTTTCGAACCACTAACTGTGACCACAGCCTCTGCTGATATGTTATTAATATCCCAGGCTATAGATAGCTGACCTTGCCTGCCACATGTGTCAGATAACAGGTATTCTCAGGAGAAACCAGAATATCAAGGACTGAGCTGCAAACCATTCCAACAACCTTTTACTGGCCTCTGTTAATGGAGTGGAATTGTTTTAGTTTTGTTTCCCTTCACACTTTGATTTTGCTGCTTATATCATTGTCAGTGTTTGGAAAACAATCGACAGCTTAATGTTGCATCCATAGGTCATTATCAGTATATATATTATAGTGCCCATCAAATTTATGTTGAAGATATTGTGAGACTTCTTTATAAAAATGTCTGAAATTCAGTGAAAGCATCCCAAGGAATATTTTAGATGGACCATTTGGGGTAAAAATTGGTTTAGATTCATCTTTTGACCCTCATTTTTGTTATGAAGCTTCTCAAAGCAGGATCATTGGTTCCGTCTTTGAACCTGAGAAGCTAGAGCAACAGATCAAACCCATCTGCCATCCCACGATCCCTCGACTGCATGAGGGGCCATGGACCAATTGCCTCTTGAATGCAAAGGCCTATCATGGCTCCAGCTTTAATTCAAGAGGATGAAGGGATATAGGATCACAGCATTGTGCAACACAGAATTAAGCCATCCAGCCAATTGTGTCCATTCTGACTCTCTGAAAGAGTCACCCAATTAGTTCCATAGTCCAAATCAGTCTACATAGCCCAGCAAATCTTCACTTTTCAAATGGATATCCAATTAGTTTCTGAAAATTACCTTTGAATCTGCTAACGATCAAATTCACCCATCCTGGCATTTTCAGATAAAAGTAAACATTCATCTCTTAAAATGGAGCTTGCATGACAGAGTGGGCAATGTGAACTGAGTGGCTTTCTTCATGCCAAAATATCTAAGTTCTTGAGTGATTTTGGAATGTTGCAGCCAAATTCACTCACACAGCTACAAAAGTTAAAATGTCAAACATATTTTCACCTGGAGGTACTGTGCCACCACACAACATCCCCATCCCTAGCCTTCTTACACTCACACACACACACACACACATACACACACACATTCACACACATACATACACATGCGCACACATACACACACACACACACACACACACACACGAGTTGATTTTACTGAAACAGTCTGCATTACAGTGGAATTTGTCACACCACATGGAGGCAGAATGGCTTGAAATACAGATTAAACAAAACAAACCAGACCACAAATATCTTTAGTTTATCATTATACATGTATTACATGAGGAATTAAGTATGGAAGAAGGGCTTTTAGTTTAATCTACAGTGCCAAGTGGCTATTTCTAAAGTGAATTCAGTAATTAGCATGATCAAATAAGCTCACAGAATGGCAAATATTCTGAAAGAATATATTATGGGACTCAATAATTTGGGAACTGAAAGTTATATTGCATTTCATCACTAGGGTTTACTTGACCAATTTCAAAGAGCTGAAATCCAAGTTTTGAGTTGGAAAACTAAATATTCTTTTATTTAGTATCATCATGAATTAAATGACAGCAAACCAAAGCCAACTTTGATAATTATTTGCAGCAGGCCAAGAATCACAGTAAAACTCAAAGCAGGCGGTGAGCTCACTTCTACAAGTCGTATTAATTTCTAAAATAAAACAGAGAACTGCTGATGCTGGAAATCAGAAACAAAAACAGAAATTGCTGGGAAAATTCGGCAGGTCTGGCAGCATCTGTGGAAAGAAAACAGAGTTAACGCTTTGGGTCCAGTTTTATAGAAGGGTCACTGGACCTGAAATGTTAACTCTGCTTTCTCTCCACAGATGCTACCAGACCTGCTGAGTTATAGAGTCATAGAGCAGTACAGCATGGAAACAGACACTTTGGTCCAACACATCCATGCCAACCAGATATCCTTGATAAAACTAGTGTCATTTGCCAGCTTTTGGCCCATATCCCTCTAAACCCTTCCTATTCATATACCCATCCAGATGCCTTTTAACTGTTGTAATTGTACCAGTCTCCACCACTTCCTCTGGCAGCTCCTTCCATACACACACCACCCTCTGTGTGATAAAGCTGCCCCGAGGTCCCTTCTAACTCTTTCCCCTTCACCTTAGACCTATGCCCTCTAGTTTTACTCTCCTCTACCCCAGGGAAAAGACCTTAGCTGTTCACCCTATCCATGGTCCTCATAATTTCATAAACCTGTGAAAGATTACCCCCAGCCTCCTATGCTGCAGGGAAAATAGCCCCAGTCTATTCAGCCTCTCCCAATAGCTCAAACCCTCGAACCCTAGCAACAGTCTTGAAAATCTTTTCTGAATCCTTGCAAGTTTCACAACATCCTTTCTAAAGCAGGGAGACCAGAAGTTTCCCAGCAATTTCTGTTTTAGTATCAATTTATGCACCTAGTTTGAAGACAGATTGTAAATAGATTGTAAAAGACCAAATCTCTTTGAATTATAGTCCACAAACAGGATTTAAGTATCATTTACTTACTGTTACATAAGATAATAGTACTGAATGAATTAACAATGTAATTGCATTTGCTGCACTCAGTCTTTGTGTGCAGAAAGACTTAGTTTTGCATAAGGTTTTGATGGAGATAGACATGACTTATCTGGCTCCTGATAATTATAATTGGGTTTAACTAGCTAATGTTAATTGTACCTATAGCTGTCATGCAATTTTTCTTTTATATCCAGAAGTGCTTTCATGCACCACTGAACAGTTTTTTTTCCAACACCAAATCACCTATGTTACTCTTCACCTTTATTCACCACCATTAAATCACCTGTGTTTCCAAATAATTATCAATTTGCATGCAAAGTCCATCAGGGACAATGCAGTAACACCAAAAGTGAGGGAAAGATAGGGATAGAGGGAGGAATCATGCAATAGATAGTTGAATGAATGTATCCAGACTTGTTATGACACAGCCCTGGAGCAGGTAGGACTTGAACACAGGTCACCTGGCCCAGAGGTAGGGACAATATCATTACCATTGTACCACAAGAGTCCAACAAGGGTTATGCAATTGATATTCTCAAATCAGAGATGTTATAAGGTGGGACTTGAACCCTGGCCTCCTGGTTCAGAGGTAGGATACTACCATTGCACCGCAAGAGTCCAGCAAGGGTTATGCAATTTTTTTGTTCCTAATCAATCTGTTCAGAAATGTTATTACACATATCTGGAGCAGGAAGGACTTCACCCCATGCCTCTGGGCCCAGAGCCCTCCTAGATGTGTCATCAAATATCTGAGCAGGTTAGAATTGGTGACAGCAAACTATCCTAATCATCAGCTGCTACAGATTGATACCAGTACAACCATCTGGCAGTGGCGGCAATCAGGTGATATGAGCCTTACAGCTGTATAAAGGTTTGCATTTATATAGCAACTTTCATGACCTTATCATGTCCGAAAGTACTTTACAGCCAATAAGAACTTTTTTTTGTGAAGTCAATATTGTAGTAAATTTTCCACAGCAAGGCTTCACAAATATGAAGGAGATACAGGTTCAGAATTTACCACAAGTATTGAATGAATGGCACTATTTTTAGATTTAAGCATCTTCATTTATATTGCGTGATCTTTTGAAAGTACTGTAAGTTACTCTATCTTGGTTTAACTATTCAGATGAAATCCTACATCTAAGGGGTACGTGAACAGGGCAAGAAGCTCTGTCACTGTTTAACCAATCAGAATAACAATTGTTAATGAGACTTCAAACCAGGAAGTGGCTGGTGGAATACTAAATTCCATATCAATTGAAGGATGAAAAGTGAAATAAAAAGAAGAAAAAATAAATTCCATCTAAAACTGACAGCAAAAAAGACAGAAGTGTTCTTTTTTAAAGAAAAATAGTTTTAATCAAAACATTTTCAAGAAAACAAAGCATTAATATTCCACAAGAGATAACAAGGTGTCGAGCTGGATGAACACAGCAGGCCAAGCAGCATCAGAGGAGCAGGAAAGCTGACATTTTGGGCCTAGACCCTTCTTCAGAAAACTCCACAATTCCCTGTTGTTTGAAACAACACAATGAGATTTTAATGTCATATCTGGTATGCAGAACCTTACCTTCATTAACTCATTTGAAATACAACAACTTCACCAGTACTGGACCCTCCCAGAATGACACAGCAGTGTCCACCTGAATTTTGTGCATTAGTCTCTAGAGAAGGACTTGATCCCACAATCTTCTGAACAGGAAGAAGAGAAGCTGCCACTCCTATCACACCTGGCACCCATCTTTCGTGATAGCTTTCTGTCTTCTCTGTGACAATATCGGAGTTATATCTAGACCAGCTTTAAGCAGCTTGATCAATAGGTATCATTTGTCTAATACTAGATTATAACAAGGAATTCATTAGTTGGCACTTACAACCATAAGCTTTTAATATATCATTGCAATGGTAATAGGACTCGATCATTTTTTGTGAGAAACCAATCGCTGTCTGCTGACATAAGATATCAATTTACAACTAAGGATCTACATGTCTTTAAATGTGAATCTCACCCAGCTACTACCTAGATCAATACCTGCAGGGCACATTGTGGTTAGATACCCTCCTTTCATGTTGTCTGGTGACTGCCAGGCAAGAATACTAACAGCCCTGTTAGGATGGAGCTCTGCTAGTGTTCAGATAGACCTTTCCTTTAAATCAACCTATCCAGGTATGTTCACACATATCTCTAGAGCGGGTGGGACTTGAACCCTAGTCTTCTGGCTCATAGGTAGAGACACTACTATTACCAAAAGAGCCAAGGCAAATGTCAGATATGTGAATGAGGGTGATTGTGTGTTAACAGTTCATCCAGGA